GCCGTCAGCTGGGATGTGCGCCGTGCGATCTGTGCCGACTTGCACGCTCGGCGTCGCCCGCCCGCCCGAGGGGAGGGAGGGGGTGGCAAGGCGGGCGAGGGAGGCAGGCGCAGCGCGAAAGAACGGGCCACACGCAGGCGGACGGGCCACACCAAAAGCAGGCTCCCTCCCCCGCCCCCCCCCTGCAGGCCGAGGGGCTGGCAACATCCTTCACTCCCACTCAGCATCTTTTCCCCTGATTTTCTTTCAGTTTGCCTCGCCCCGTCCCTTCTTGCTCCCCCCCTCCCCCCACTCCCTGAAGACTCCCTCGCTGTCACTTTCTTTCCCTCCTTCCCTGCCGGCATTTGCCGCGACGTGCCCGGTTCCCCGGACGGAGGTGCCCGCTCTGCCTGTCGCGATGGTGTCCCGGGCGGGCATCGGCCTGCCGGGCCGCCGGGCGCTCGTTCCATTTGTCCTGCTGGCGATGTGCGCCTGTGCGGCATCCGCCAGGGGCGCCCTCCTCTCGGACCCCGGGCCAGAAGCCCACCCGCTCGGGGTGTCGCCGTTGCTGGGTGACATGCGCGCGCTGGAGGACGACTCGGCACCGGCCTTCGATCCCTTCCTGCGAGACCTCATCTTCGGCACATACATCCTGGTGCTGGCCATCATGTCGGTGTTTTTCGTGCACTTCGCCGGACGCGTGGCCGCTTGGGCCCTGTCGTCGCTGGTGAACCTGCTGCTCCTGCGAGGCGTGGCCCCGGGCTCACCGCCAGCCGCGCAAGTGCACCTGTACAGCATCAGCCTGACATCGCTGCTGAGTGGCCAGCTGCTCCTGCGCGGAGTGCGCCTGGTCACCCCGGACATGATGGTGGAGATTGATGGCCTGCGGCTGTACCTTCGATATTGGCTCTTCCCCGGGGAGGAGGCCATGGTGGCCTTCGGGGCCAAGGGGGCCGGGCTTGGGTCCGGCGTCGGCGGGCTGCCCGGGAGCATGGGCATCGGTGCGGCGGCCGGGGATGGCCGCCGCCGGGGCGGCCTGACCAAGGAGTCCCATGCGGCCGCGGCCGCGGCCCTGACCGTGGCCTTGGGGGACAGTTCGTTGTCGGGCACGGCGGCTGCCGTCCTGGCGGACCTGAATGTCCGCCCGAGCACCAGTCGTCTTGGGCTGCGCCTGCGAAGTGTCCAAGTGTCCATCTTCAATCGCTCTTCCGTGGTGGACCTCTGGCTGGCACGGCTGGAGCGTTTCCGCGCGGCCTCGGCCGGCGATGGCGCGCCCGGGCCCGAGGTCCGGATCTTTGATCAATCCACCGGCGAAGGCCCGGCCAAGTCCAAGCAGGAGGCCGAGGCGGCCATGCCGGTGGTCGACAGCCCGGAGTCCCCCCCCTCGGTGGGGTCATCCCGGGAGACAAGCTCCGCCGGTCTCCCTCCTGCCGGCCAGGCACCCGCCCTGCTGCGGCCCCTGCCGCAGGAGCTCTTCGATGCGGTGGCCGAGCCGGTGGTCGACTCGCTGAGCGGCTTGGGCCTGCCGCCCTGGCTGCCGGTCGATGTGGAAATCGACACGCTGGCCATCATGGCCGGGACCACGGTCCTGCCCACGATCTTCGTGATGACCGTGCAAAAGCTCCAGGGCCGCCTCCTGGCCGAGGTGCCCTACTCGCCGCCGGTGCCGCTGCCGGCCGATCTGGCCGAGGCAGCCCTGCGCCCGACCTGGCGCCAGTGGCTGGACCGGCTCCGGCGGCCGGCCGCCCGGGGGATGGCGGCTCGGGCCGCGGCCGCCGCCTCGGTCGCCGTGCCCTCCCCCGGTGGAGGGACGGTCGCCCCGGCGGACTACCTCCATCCGCACCGGCATTTAATTCGGTCCCTCCGGCCGTTGGGGTTTTTCCAAGCGCCCGATGCGCCGGCCGGGGCCGGGCTCCTGGCCAGCCTCGTCGCCCCGTGGGGCCGGTCATCGGGGGACCTGCACGGCGCAGCCGCCGTCCCCTCGGCCGTGGCCCTGGCCTGTCCGTATGCCTATCGCTTTGATGCGGCTCTCAAGGTGGTTCGCATTGATTTGATCCCGAACGATGACTTCCTGCCGCCGTTGCAGCCGCGCTTCGACTTCCCGCCCGAGGCCCCGCTCTTTGTGGATCTCTCCCGCAGCGTGGCCGTCCCGCCGGCCGACGGGCCGGAGGCCGTGCACATTGACGGCCTGGCCGCCGGGGAGTCGGACGCGGCCATGGCCGCCGCCACGGCCGCGCTCCTGGCGTCCACCGCCTCGGAGGATGCCCCCCCGGCGGCCGGTGACCCGGGGTCGGTTCTCCTGCCGGCGGACGCCGGCTGGGCCGATCGACTGCGGTTCCGGCTGCGCGCGGTTGGCCGTGCGCTCAAGCCACGCTCGCGCAACCATGGGCTCCGGCCGACCGAGCCGACCGCCGGCCCCGGCGCACCGACCGACGCCTATCCGCGAATGCGTGCGCCCTCGGCGATGGCGGCCCCCGCGCCCGGGGGTCCTGGCGCGGCAGCAACCACAAGCCCGGCGGCTGCGGGTCCTCCCGCCGGTCCGGGGCCACACGCTGGTGCCGGGTCGCGGCTGCCCTCCTCGGAGGAGGATGCCCTGCCGGCGACCTTCTTCGACCAGCAAGACGAGTATGCCCGTGTGACGGATGTCTTCGAAGCGCCGTTCATTCGCCTGTCCTACATCCAGGACCGGCTGGCTTTGGTGGACACCCGGCTGATGGCCCTCTCGGCCGAGGGCGCCGCGGGCCTGGCATCCAGCGCCCCCGACCCGGAGCAGGGCACCGGCGAGGGCATTCCCCTGAAGCCGGTCGGCTCGGTGGGCGGGTCGCTCGCGGCCGCCGGGTATGATCTGCGCCAGCTCGGCCAGCATCCCCGGTGGGAGCTGGACCTGATGGTGCAGAATGCCACCATCCGCTATGGGCCGTGGGCCGACCGGGAGCGTGCTCGGCTCATGTCGCACTTCTTCCCCTTCATGTATGATGACGCGCCGGCTCCCGGGCCCGGGACCCCGGGCGGGGAGGGGCTCGCCCTGCCGGCGGCCCTGGCGGTGCATGTTCACTTCAAGGGGCCAAGCACATTGCGGGTGCCGACGCGCGAGCCCGGGCGTGAGGCCGGGTTCGATGGGCCGGATGCCTCGGGGCCCGGCGGCGCCGCCCTGGCACCGGGCACCGGGCAGGCGGACCATCAGCCGCCGGTTTCCCAGCCCGGGCCGGCCCGATCCAGTCGGCGGTACGCCTGGCTGGACATCACCTTCCAGGAGGGGTCCAGCATCGGGTATCGGGTGCCCTGGCTGCCAGCCCGGCGGGTGGGTGGCCATGCGGCGGTCCTGGAGGTGGTGCTCTCCTCGGTGGCCATCAACACCTCGTTGAATTATGCCCCCCTGGTGGCTGCTTCGACGCTGCAAGTGTCCGGGGTCATGTCATCTGCGGCTTCCTGGCGCCGAGGGCCTCACGCGTGGTCTTTCGATGTGGTACGCCCGGGGTCGAGGCCGGCTCGGCCTCCTCGTCGCCTGCTTTTCCCGCGCCTCTCTTCCCTTGCAGCCGGCTGTCTGACCCCCGCTCCCTGGGGCATCCCCCCCCCCCCCCCCCCGCCCTTAGCTCACGGAGAATGCCACCTTCCATGTTCTGCGCGACCATGCCGAGCTGATCATCGACCTGATCTCGGACTTCGTCTCGGAGCCAGCCCCGGCGACGTTGACTTCCTCCGCGTCGACCGGCGTGCATCCCATCTTCTTTCACACCCCCTACGAGTATCGCTATGGCTTCCGCGGGCGGAATGTCCGCCTGGTATTGCCCGTAAATGAGGCCAACATCATCGATGGCCTCCCCTCGGCCAGCGACCTGAATGCGGCCCTCTACCTCGACACGCCGGCCCTGAATGTGGGTTTCCGCTCCGATGCACACGCGTACGTACCTCCTTCTGCCTGTCGGAAGTGTCTCCCTTCTTCTCTCTTCTTCTCTTCTTCTCTTCTTCTCTTCTTCTCTTCTTCTCTTCTTCTCTTCTTCTCTTCTTCTCTTCTTCTCTCTCCCTCTCTTCCTCTCTTCCTCTCTCCCTCTCTTCCTCTCTCTCTCTCTTCCTCTCTCCCTCTCTCCGGCTTCTCTGGGCGAGGGGCTTCACCATCTCTGTCTTGTCGCCTTACCTGCTCCCGCGTCGTTTGTCTGCTCTTCCTCCCCTTTGACATCTCCCACCCCGCACCGCTCCTCCCACCTGGCTAGCTTCCGTCCGAGTATGGTCAGCATGCCATGCCGTATCGAAGCCCCCGAAGGAGTCACCGTGTCCTTCTCCTTGCCCAAGTCCCACACCTACTATGAGCGCTTCTCGCGGGTGGAGCGCTTCCTGCATGTGGAGCGCCTGCTCTTTGCCTTCAATTACTCGTATGTCCTCGCGCATCGGGCCTTTTCGCGTAAGGCACAGGCCTTCAGCACTGCGGCAGCCCCGCCGCAGCCGAAGTTCCGCGAGCCGGACGACCCGCACGATGTCTTGACCATCGACGTGCAATTGGACGGCGCCACGGGCCTGGCCCATGGGTTGGCCATCCACCTCTTCCTCTTGGCGTGGGAAAATTACCTGGGCGATGATTTGGCCTTCCAAACGGTGGACGAGGTCCGTGACCGGTTCCAACGGGCCGGGGAGGAGATTCGCGCGCGGCGCCGGGCAGCCGCCGCCACCCGCCATGCGCCTCCGGCTCCCGGACGCCTGGAGGCCAGCTTCTGCCTGACGGCCGGGCGCCTGCAGCTGGCCCTGCCGACGCACCTCGGTGCCCTGCCGGACCCCGTGGCAAAGGAGCTCTTCGACCGGCAGTGGAAGGCCTGGGAGGACTCGGCGGCGGCCATGTCGCTCCCCCTCCCGGCCGGTCTTCCCCCCGGGGCCGGGCTGGACAGCTTGCCGCCTTGGTTTGTGCGTGATGGCTGGGACAGCGCATCCGGGTACTACTCGCTGGCGTTTGCCCCGAGCTTGGATGTGGACATCCGCTCGGCGCCCCTGTGCGAGCGCCATGCAGCGGAGTCGGTCCGGCCAGGCGCCCGGGCACCCGCCGGCCCGGCTGACCGTCTGCGCCCCGGCGCCGCGGCCGATGACGTCCCGAGCGTCGACGTGCACCTGGTCACCGGGCCGGTGATGCTTTTTGCCCCCGCGCCGGAGAGCATGCGCCCGGGATCGGGCCGGCGCTCGGCCACCACCTCGCGCCGGCATCCTGGCCTGGAGGAGGCCCTGGGCGCCGCGTCGGCCGGGTGGGCCTCCACCCCGGCCACCGAGCCATTGGTGGTCGTGGCCCCGGAGCTGCATTCATTGGATGCCCTCTATGCTCCGCTGGATGCGGCGCACCCGGCGCTTGGGACCCCGGCACCCGGGGTGGCGCCCGCCCGCCGGGCCTCCCTGTCGGGCGAGGACCCTGGCGATGCACGGGGTGGCGCCCCGGCCCCGGCCCCGGCCCCGGCCCCGGCCCCGGCCCCGGCCCCGGCCCCGAGCCCGCTGCTTGCCATTGGGTCTCTGGGCTTGGGGATCATCCTGAGCGATTCGCCGCTGCGCGGCGTCCGGCCGTTGCTCATCCGCGTGGACCTGCCGACCGGGGCGCGCATGCGTGTGCCCGACGCGCACCTGCTCCTGAGTCGCGTTCTCCTGCCCGCGGGATTGGCCTTCCTGGAGACCATGCTCTGCAGCGATGACTCGCTGCACCTGCCAATCACCAATTCCCCGGTCTTGCGAGAGATGATGATCAGCATCCAGGTGGATGCCGGTCCGATCGATGTGATGCTGCTTGACGGGCCGCCCGGTGCGCCTGGTACTCCCGCGCCCCCTGGGCTTTCCTCTTCTTGGCCCCCCCTCCCTCTGTTGCCCGTGTATGTCCTGGTCTCTGACACACACCTCCCTCCTGCTCTTGCCTTTCTCCCTCTCTCCCCCCCTCTCTCTCTCTCCCACTCGCTCCCTAGCTGCCGGTCGTGCTGCCGGCGCCACGCCCGGCGACTCTCCCTTCGACCAAATCTTCCGCATCCAGGCGCCGGATGGATGTCGGCTTCTCTTTGATGAGCTGACCCGGGCCCTGGAGTTGCACATGCCGCTGCTGGATGTCCGGGCCATGATCCGGCGCCCGGCGCGGCCGGTGTCTGGACTCGCGGTTGCCCCTCTCGCGGCGGCCGGGGCCCCGGGCTCCGGGCCCGGGACCCCCCACCGGCAGCAGCCCCTGTCGGCGCCCCCCTCGCCTGGTCCCTTTGGCCAGCCGCGCCCCACACGAGCTCCGGCTCTGGGACTTCATATCCCGGGCGCACAGGCCGATGCCCCAGGGGGGCCCTCGGCCACCTCCACGCCGCTCAGCACACCAGGGTCCCCGACGCCCCCGGTCGCGGGTCCGGCCTTCGAACTGTGCGAAGTCCTGCGCATCCGCGTGTCGGTCCTTCGCGACCAGCCCCTGCCGGCGGACCTGCCACGATCGCTGGGGGAGGCACTCGGCCCCGGCGGCCGGGAGTCGATTCCTGATCGATGCACGCGGGTGAGCGGGCCGATTGTCACGGTCGGACGTGCGACCGACCTGGCCACCTTCCTGGCCGTCAGCAAGCTCCGCCTTCTGTCAGCGGTATGTGCCCCTGGGACACCCTTGGCATTCTTCTCTTGGCATGGCCCTTTTGCTGACTCCGCCCCCTTCCCCTCCCCGCCTCCTGGCCTATGTCTCCAGGGCGTCAGCCTCCATGATGAGATGGACATGCTCATGGCCGGGTATTCGTCTCGCGTGAAGCCCTTCTTCGCGGAGTACTACCGGCAGTCCCTGGACAGCCTGGCTCGAGGCACCAGCGCCACGGCCGGCTCCGGCATCGGGCTGGTTGGGTTTGCCCTCGGCGGGGCCGGCGGCGGGCTCTTTGATGATGGCTTGGCCGGCCGGTACCCGGGTGTCGGGGTCATGGATGCCCGGGGGTTCGCCGCCCCCGGCGGCCAGGCGGCCAATGTGGCGGCGGCCATCCCCCCGGCCCCCCCCTCGCTGGTGTTCCTGGAGGGGTGTCTTCTCCGGTGGAATGACTCCCTGCCGTTGAGTGTGTGCGCGCAGTCGGGCTTCTTCTCCAGTGCCGGCCTGGCCGAGGTGGCTGGGGTGGTGCTGTCGGTGCAGGGGTCACGCAGTGGCGGGGTCCGCGCGGACCCCGGCACATCGGGCACCCTGCGCCCCGGGGCCGGGGCCGGCGGGGAGTCCGCTGGTGTTCCTGGAGGGGTGTCTTCTCCGGTGGAATGACTCCCTGCCGTTGAGTGTGTGCGCGCAGTCGGGCTTCTTCTCCAGTGCCGGCCTGGCCGAGGTGGCTGGGGTGGTGCTGTCGGTGCAGGGGTCACGCAGTGGCGGGGTCCGCGCGGACCCCGGCACATCGGGCACCCTGCGCCCCGGGGCCGGGGCCGGCGGGGAGTCCGGCTCGCCGCTCATCCTGCTCACTGTGCCGGTGGCGACGTTGGACTTGCGCCGGGCTGCCGGGTTCCAGGAGTCGAAGTCCACCTCGCGAGGCGCCTCGCGCCATGGCTCGGCGCATGACCTGACCGCGGCCCTGCTGGACTCCGGGGATGCGACCGGGCTCGGGGCCGGCCTGGATGCCGGGCCTTTGGGCGGCACTGGCGGGTCCTCCTCCGGTGAGCGTCCCTCCCCGAGCCGCATGCAGTTGGACATCCCGCGGATCTTCCTGCGCCTGGCCATGCCGGCCACGTCGGACATCGGCCTGGGCAGTTTGCTCGTATCGGAGCTGACTTCGGTCGGGGTGCTGGCACAGTCGCTGATGGATGCCTTGGCCTGGCGCCGGGCATTGGTGGTGGCTCTCGTGGCTCATGTGTCGCATGTGCGGCACCTGGCCGGCCACGGTGGCCCGGGCAGCGATCCGGACTACTTGAAGAATGCCAGCGGTCTGTGGCGCCTTGGCAATCGCGCGCACATCACCAATCCCGGCTGGCTGCAGGCCAGCCATCTGCGCAGTGTGGCCGCCCGGCTGCCGCACGCCGAACGCCAGGCCCTGGAAATGCTGGTCAGCCAGGCCGCCGGCCAGCGCTTCCTTCCCCGCCCGGGGGACTTGTCTCCGGAGGTGAGCCCGGGCGCGGTTCCCCCGGCCCCGGCCGAGAGCTTTGGCTCTTGCTCGCTGCTGGCGTCGGTCCTGCGGCGCTCCTGCCGGGTGCGATACGCCGACCGGTGCCGGGCATATGTCATGGTGACCCAGCGGCCTCCTCCGACCTTCCTGTCAACCAGCCACCTGGTTGAGTATGCGCGGCGTTGCCTGCGGCACTGGCGCGCGTGGGACGTGGGGTCCCGGCCGAGCGGGCTCTTCCGCATGCTCGGTCCGCATCTCTACTCGCCGGCCAACTACCCGCGGACCGTGCGCTGGGGCCGGCCCCGGGGTGGGGACCCGGGGGCTTCGCACTTGGATGAGGAAGACGCGCTGTTGGCCCCGGGTGCCGGGGCGTCGGACCCCGGGGTGCCGCATGTGGCTGGGCCTGCCGGCACGCCCGGCCTGGCTGCCATGGCCGATGAGCTGATGGCCCCGCCGGAGCGCGAATTGGCCGGTCGCCGTGCGGACGAGCTGCTCGTCCTGCGCCTGGGGCTGGCACAGGTGACCTAGATCGGAAGAGCACACGTTGCCGGGGCGTCGGACCCCGGGGTGCCGCATGTGGCTGGGCCTGCCGGCACGCCCGGCCTGGCTGCCATGGCCGATGAGCTGATGGCCCCGCCGGAGCGCGAATTGGCCGGTCGCCGTGCGGACGAGCTGCTCGTCCTGCGCCTGGGGCTGGCACAGGTGACCTTCGCCGACACGGTTTTCGGCCTGAGCCTGGCTGATATCGAAGTCCGGGCGCGGCTTCCACGCGGCCTGGCCGGCGAGCATCCCTATCTGGCCGGCGGCGCGGACACGCGGAGCCCGGCGCTGGGGGCCGCCGACACGGCCCCGACGGCCGGCCGGCCTGTCCTCCTGTCCGGGCGCTTGGCCTTGGTGGAAACGCGCATCAGTCTGCCGGGGCTGCTGGCCATGGCCACCATGGCCCGGCCGCTGGTGGACTCGGCCCTGGAGGCCCTTGCCACCCTCAATGGGCCTGCCAATGCTGGCGGTGGTGCCGCGACCGCCGGCGCCTCCGGCGCTCTCCCGGTGGACCACTTCTACTTGGACAGCTTGCCAACTTCGGAGGCGATGCCCACCCCGGCCGCCCCGGTGGCCGGTGGCGCCGGCCCGGACAACGGGCTCTCCGACCGGCCGGTGGTGCTGAATATCAGCACTTGCTTCAGCCTTGGCCGCTTGATCTTGGCCTTAGATGGGCTGTCTTCGGATGCCGTGGTCCCGGGCCCCGGGCGCCGGACGGGGGCCTCTTCGCATGAGGCCCACTCGCCGCGCAGCACGCCACGCGCCACGCCGGCCAACCTTCCGCGCTCCATCCGCCGGGCTCGGTCCTCTTCCTCGTCGGCGGTCGGCCCGCATCCGAGCGCCGCCGCGGCCGCCCCCGGGCAGGAGCCCTCCTCTCCGACGGCTGGCCTGGGATTTGTGCCAGCCTCCACTGCGGCCCCCTCCTCCGGGCCCGCTGCCCCGGTGGAGCTGGGCGTGCGCTTCGAGCTGGATCGCCTTCGGGCGGCCTTCATCAGCCGACCCCCGGGCGTCGCTGGCGCCGGGACCGATGACCCGACCCCGGAACGGGGGTCGCTTCTATTGCGTCTGTCCATGCACCAGGCCGGCTTCTTCCTTAGCCGGCAGACGTGTCCCTCGGAGGGGGACATGCCCGGGGGGTCGGATTCCCGGCCGGCCAGCCCGGCCGACTCGCCCTCGGGCCCCAGCACCCCGGCCCCGACGGCCACGCCGGTGGATTTGCTCTGCCTCGGTGGGGGCGGGCTGGATGTGCGGTGTTGGTTCCCGCGGCCGGCTCCCGAAGCCGGGGGCCCCCGGGCCCCGGGCCAGGACGCCGGCCCCGGCCTCGCGTCCTCCTCGGTGCGCGTGCACCTCGACAGTTTGGCCTTGGCCACGCTGGAGGATTGCGACCTGGAGACCGTGGTGCTGGCCGTGTCGCCGGTGGCCGTCCACTGGCTGACGATCATCCTCCCGTGGTTCTTGGCCGCCATGGCGCCGGCCGGCTCCCGCGCCAGCCGGACCGACCCCGGGCCCGGGCCCACACGTTCGGCCAGCCGACGCGGGTCTTCCAGCAGCTTGGCCCCCTCGCCCGGGCCCAGTCCCATGGACCACTTCCAGCATGCCTACCAGTCGCCGGAGATGGGGGCCAGTCGACCGACCACGCCGACCCCGGCCGCCCTGGCCATGTCTCCCCTGCCTCCGGGGCCGCCGCCGACCACGCCGCCGCCCGGGTCCGGCGCACGCCACTCCAAGTCCCTCTCATCCGGGTCCATCTCCTCGGCCTCGTCGTGCTCCGGCGTGTCCACCTACTCCGTGGACCGGACCATTTGCCCGGCGGCCTTCGAGGCGATCATGCCTTCTGCCCGGCCGCACAGCATGCTGCGCATTTACTCCGACACATCGGCCGTGTCGATGGCAGACTCCTTGGCTGCTCGCTTTGGCCTGGGTGATGGGCCAGGGGGGCCGCCTCCGCCGGTGCCCCCGCCGCCCACCCCGGGCTCGCCGGTGTCGATGCCGGCCCCGGTGCCGGCCCCGGATGACGGGTCGCACCTGCCCGCCGGGGCCCCGGCCCCGGTGCCTGCCGGGGCCCCGGCGGCCGGAGATCGGCCCCAGTCGGATTTGCCGCGCGCCGGTGTCATGGTGTCCTTCCGGCTCCGTCGAGCGACCATTCGCCTGGCGCCGGTGCTGATCGAGCTGCCGGTGATGGAGCTGCACTTGTCCCTCCGTCGCCATCAGGCCCAGATGCCGCTGGCGTCGTTGGCCGCGCTGGCCAGCGGCCTGCCGGCCAATCTGGTGGATCTCTGGGCCGGGCCCTTTGCCCCGGCTGCCCAGCCGACTGCCGACCCGGAGACCCTGGTCCTCCCGCGGCAAACGGCCGACCGCCTGAGTGTGGCTCTTCACATCTTCTCCGGCACCTACCTGTCCATCGGGTCGATCGGGGCGCGGGTGCGGGCCGGGGCTCAGCTTCGTGCCTGTCTCGATTGGGGCCGCATGGTTCGGCTGTCACGCTCGGGCGGGCTCAGCCACCGCTGGGTGCCGCTGGCGCCTCGCTTGCAGGCGCACGCCTTTTCCGACTCGCGCCGGGGCCAGTGTGCCGGCTGCGATGACGACGCCGCCGTCGGGGCCGAGGGCGGTGCCGACACCAGCGCCACCTGCGTCGGGGCCTGTGTCCCGGCTCTGGCCTTCGACGTGCAGCCGGGCGATGTGGTGGCCCTGCTGCAGCAGCTTGATCGGACCCTGCGTGCGGCCGAGCCGCTGCTGGAAGTCCTGCGCGCTGGCGTGCCTCTCTTCGCGCCCGGCGCCGGGCTGGGACCGGATGAGCTGTCGCCCGGGAGCCCGGGCCCGGGCTCGCCGCCGTCTCCCGGGCCGGCCGCAAGCCCCGCTGATGCACCGGCCGCGGGGCGCTCCCCTAACGATGCGCCGACGCTGACGCGGATTTCCAGCCTCTCGGCCGGCACTCGGGCCGGCTTGACCCGGCGCGGGTCGTCCGGCTCCACCGACCGGGAGACCGGGGCAGCGGTGGCCACACGGCTCGGAGCCGGCCGGCATTCCGGCACGGCCCCCCCTTCGGCGCCGCACCTGGCCCGGCGCATTGCCTCGTCGCAGTCGCATCCGGACTTCCCGAGCTCCTTCGGGTCGGTGCGCTTTGCGGCGGAGGCATCCGGACCCGGGGCCGGGTGTGGATCCGGGCCGGGGCCGGGGCCGGGGCCGGGGCCGGCAACAAGCGAGCCGCCCATGCCGGGGCCCGGTTCCGAGGCTCCGGCGCTGGGCCTGCGCTTCCGCCTCGGGGTGTATGTTCGCCCGCCGCCCCTGTGCATCACCTGGCCGACCGCCATCGGGTCCTTCGTGCTGCGCTTCGGCGTGGCCCAGATCACCGAGCGCGGGATTTGCCACGCCCGCCTGACGGCCTCCGTCAACCAGCAACCCTCTCCGCTGCTGGCTGACCGGGCCTCCCCGGCCGATGGCAAGAGCCTGGACCTGGTGCATGTGTCCCTGCGGGAGCTTCGAATTGGGGCCGAGCATCGGCACTTCCGCGGGTCCCTTGACGAGCTCATCGCCCGGGTGGCTCTGACCCATGAGCAGGCCCTTCAGGCCCTGGTTCTGTCGCTGTTGCCGCTGCTGCACTTCCGATCGGCCGGCGCGAAGGCCTGGGCCACCGAGCGCACGGGCACATCACCGGGCCTGCCACCCGGGAACCCGGATGCCGGGGCATCCACCACGTCCCTCGGCTCGTCGTCCTCCGCCGCCGCCGCCGCCGCCGCCGCCGCCACTGCCACGGCCACCGGCGGGGCTGGCCTGCCCTCGCCCTCGCCAAGCATGGCCTCCTCGACGACGGCCGCGGCGTTTGTGGTTTTCCAAATCCGCGGCATCGATGTCGGCCTGACGCGCGTGGCTGCCGAAGATGCGCCGGCGCCGGCGCCTGAGGATCTTGCCGCGCGCGACCCGCTCGGCTCCTCGGGCCAAGCCACTGCCCCGGGGGCCCTGCCCCAGCGTGCACTCTCCCGTGCTCGCCGAACGCGAACCATCTCCCTGTCCGAGCAGACATGGCACTCGCTGGCCTCTGGCGCCGGGTCTCCAGTGGCGGCCGCCGTCCTGGCCACCAGCACGGCCAGCAGTGCCAGCAGCCTGCGCAGTGGCTCGCCGCCCATCTCGCGTGCCGCCAGTCCGACCCCCTTGCGCTCGGGCTTCCGGCCTTTGGTCGACTCGGCGAGCCACGGCTCGCTGGCGGCATCGGCCCCGGTGTCCGACTTGCCCGGCGGCGAACCGGCCCCGGGTGGCCTGCGCCTGGGGATCTCCTTCCATGGGCTACACCTGTCGGTGGAGCATGCTGGCGGGCTGGGCGGGGCCCCATCGGCCCCGGGCCGGGCCCGAGCTCCCGGGCCCTCGGGCTTGGAGTCCGCCTCCGAGTCTGACCGCCTGGTGTCGCGACTGCTGGAGGGCCGCGACGCGTCGGCGCGCGTCGGCCTGTCGCGCCTGACGGTGGCGGTGTCCCGGTCACCGGCCCTTGGCGGGCGTGGGGACATCCGCATCCGCGAGCCGCATGTCATCATCGATGGCCGGCTGGTGGGCACCCTGCTGACGGTCTTCCTAATTGCCGACCGTCTGTATGACCTGGTCGAGGGGTATCGCACGGGGAAGCGCTTGCCCGTTTCCTCGGCCGCCTCTTCGCCGGCCACGCCGCGCGGGCCGATGTCGCCGCTGGCCCCGGTGTCCGGCTCGCGCGAGACGGTCGACATGGCGGAGCCCACATCGCCGACCTCCTCCTCCGCCTCGACGTCAGACCCATCGCCGGCCCCGGTGCCCGCCGCTTCTGCCGCCGTGGCGCTCTTCGACCCGTGGTCCGTGCGCCAGCTGCGCGCCGATGTGGACCCCCTGCTGTTTGTCATTCGCACCACCCGACTTTCCGGCTCGAATGCCACGCCGTCCGATGCCCCGGCTCCGGAGGCCTCGGGACACCATATCCTCTTCCGGTTGCCGCGGCTGCGTGCACGCCGTCGTGGGGCATTGGCCGTTGTCCGCACCACGACCCCTCTGGATGTGGCCCTGTCGCCGGAAGGCGTGACCGGCTTCGTCAGCGATTGCGTGGAGTTCCTGCCGGATGCCCACCGTCAGGGACAGGCAACCAAGCGCCTGCTGTCGTCCCAAAGGGCACCCCCCTCGATGGCCGAAATGGCCGAGGCTCGCCTGCAGCAGCAGCGGCAGCAGCAGCAGCAGCAGCAGCAACAGCAGCAGCGCCCGGCCATTGGCGAGGGCAGTGCCCCGCTGGCGGTTGGCGAGCCCCCTTTGAAGGTGGTGGTTCGCGTGCTCCCCGTGCAGCTGACCCTTCTCCCGCCAAACATCGACCCGGCCGGTCTGGGGACTGACGGTGCCCCGGCCGGACGCCGGGCCCCCTCCAGGTGGAAGGTGACCTTCGGCCTGGATCAAGGCCTGCGAGCGGTGGTGTGCTTGGCTTCCGATGCGCCGGCGGACCTTGGCCCGGCATGCTTGTCTGGCCTGTCACTGGCCAGCCTGGCTGTGTCGGTCCCGGCCGTGGCCGCGCGCTTGGAAGCGGTGACCACCGGCCCGGAGAAGACCGCCCCCACGGCCTCCGGGCCCGGTGTCGCGCCGGCCCCGCCGGTGGACCCGGGCTCCGGCCCGACCGTGGCCAGCTTGAGCCTTCATCAGATCACCCTGTCGGCCGAAAGCCGCGCCGGGCTCTTTGCCTCGGGTCCTGATGGCTCTTTGCGCCGGGAGCAGACGTCCCTGGTGTTGGCGGTGGCGTCGGCCGATCTGTCGGCCCACTGGCGACACCTTCGCAGCTTGGAATGGCGCCAGATGGAGTCCGCCTGGATAGCTCCCTTTGTGGAGATTGTGTCCGATGCCAAGGCCCGGGCGCTCTTCCGGCTGGTGACGCTGGCGCCCCCGGGACCGGCCGCCACCCCGGCCCCGGGGACCGGCCCCGACATGGACGTTCTCCCGGCCGCCAGCCACTCGGCCACCCATTCTCCGGATATGGTTCTCTTCGAGAAGGGGCGCCTGCGGATGGCCCTGTCACTGGCCTCGGCTCGGGTGGCTCTCTTTTCCACGCGAGGCAATCGGCCACTGGTGGAAATCCTCCTTGCGAAATTGCTCTTCCGCGCGGCTCTCACCACCCTGCTGCTGTACCCGGCGCCGGAGGATGTGGGTCCATCCCCGTCGCCCGGCGGCTCGCCCCCCAACATGGAGGCCGGGCCGTCGTCTGGTGGTGGCGGCAACGGCCCGGTCGCCGCGGCGGATGCCCGGCAAACCAAGCAAACACGCCTCTCACAGGCAGGCCTGTCTCTGGAGCGCCTGGCTGTGGCCGTGGCTCACGCCGGCCGGCCGGGCTTCCTCGCCGAGTTGGTCCTGCGTGACTTGTCCCTTTCGCTGAGAAACCGCTTCCGCAAGTCGGCAAAGGCATCGGCCTTCCTGAGGGCGGTGGCATTGCACATGGACAGCATGTCCTCTGGGACCACGACCGCCGCCGCCGCCGCCGCCGCCAGCACCTCTGGGCCATCGACGACCCTCTCCGGCCGGCGCCTGGCCCGCGCACGCCTTGGCCCCATCTCCCTGACGGCCACCGGCCAGTGGACCCCCCTGGCCGTGGGCTTCGCCGATCTTCCCCTTGGCAAGGCTCGGCCACCGGCCGCCGCCAGGAATACCCCCTGCTCCGGGTTCGCCGGGCTCCTGCTGCTGGATGTGGATGCCGTGTGTGGAGGCCTCAATGTGGATCTGACGCGCGAGGCCCTGCGCGTGGCACTGCGCAGCGCCCGGCAGGCGTCTGCCCTTCTGCGCGCGGCCTCCAGCTCCGCCTCCACCGGGACCTCTTTGTCTCTCCTCTTGGGAAGCTTCCTCCCGGCCAGCCAGGCCGCCGCGGCACACCCCCAGCACCAGCCCGCCTCCGGGGGCCCGGCCGCGCCGGCCCTGTCGGCGATCGATGCCGCCGCCACCGGTGCCCGCACACTGCTGCACTACACCGGCATCTTCGCCCGGACGGACATCCTCTCTTCGGTGACGACCAGCGTGCGCCTTCTTGCCACGCGTGTTGTGCTGGCCAAGTCCTCGCTGGCTCGTCGTGGCCCCGGAGCAGCCGGGTCGGTGGTTGCCCGGCTGGATGCCCTGGCCCTGACGGCTCTCCTTTCGGCGCACCCGAATGGCACCCTGTCGGAATTGGCCCAAGAGCTCATGGTGGCCGAGTTGCTGGCGGCCGATGTCCTCCGACAGCTGGCCCTGCTGTCTTTGCCGGCCGGCACGCTGTCCGGGCTGACCCGTCGGGTGCAGGCCATTTTGGCCAGTCCAAATGCCGCGCCGGTGATCGAGCGCAGTGTCAATCTCTCGCTCGAGGGGCTGCGCGTTATCCGGCGCCTGCCGCTGGTCGCCGGCAAGGGTGGCGCCGCGCTGGCAATCAGTGACTCGGCCGAGCCGGGGGCCGGGTCGATGCCGGGCACGGGGGCCGATCTTCCCCCGGGTGGGGAATCGACCGAGGCGCTGACCGCCTTTTCGCGTTTGCCCACCTTTGCCGCGGATGCCGGGACCGATTTCATTGGCTCGGAGAATGTGGCCCTCTTGCCGCAGGCTGAACTTCTGCTGGATACCTGGCAAATGTCGCCGGACCTCCTGCGCTTCATGATGCAGCTGGCCATCGGCCAAACAGCCGCCAACCCCCTCGGCATCCTTCCCCTGCCTCCGGTGTACTACACCCTGAATTTGGACTATGGCGGCCGACCGGCCGATCTCACGCTGCACGGCGGCCACTACCACTTCATGACGGAGCTCATCCTGTCGGTGGTCGGCCTCTTCCGGGCGGAGTCGGCCTCTGCGCACCGGCGGCCCGGCGGCCCGGGCGATGCCGGACCCGCACGCCCGGGCGCCAGCTCCGGCGATCCCCTGTCTTCGGCCACGGTGGCCTCGGCCCTGGCAAATGCCGAGCAGGTGGCGGCCTCGGCTGCGGCGGCCGCTGCTGCGGTGGCCGCCCGTCGCGGTGGCGCCGGCGCCTCGGCTCCCCTGCATGCCTCCATCCCTGTGCCGGTCCCTCGCGTGCCGGCTGTCGCCGTGCCGACCACCGTGCCACCGGCTGCCGATGTGCCCGCGGCCGACGCCACCGAGGCAGCCATCCGCATGAAACCACTGGTGGAGCCCCGGCTGACCTTGCCGCGGATTTCGGCCCTCGGCGCCACCACCGACACGATCGTCAACTTGGTGGACTGGTTTTCGGCCAAGCGCAAGACCTCCGGCGATCCTGGCGACGCCGCTCCGGGGCCTGCCTCGGCCGGGGCCGAGGCGTCGACATTGCCCGTGGCCACGGGCAGCGCCTCGCTCACGCCGGGCGGCCCTGAGCAGCAAGCAACCCCGGCCTCGGCTGTGGAAGCCTTGACCAAGGCCGATTCGCTTCTGACCATGGCGGCCACAGACCTGGCACTGACGGCTCAACGCCTCCTTGCCGGGCCTGTGGAGCAGCTTTTGGACCAGGCAGTTGATTTGCTCGTGTAGCAGGCGGGGGGGGGGGGGGGGGGGGGCGGAGGAAGCGCGGCCAATGGCTCGCCCCCGTCCCCAGGGGGCCGTTCCCCACTCTTGGCCAAGATGGGAATCCCATCGATGACGACCCTTCTC